CCCAGATGCAACGTGAGGCAGTGGGGATCACCCCCCCCCCCCCCCCTGGCAGCAGATGGGACTTTTTTTTTTTTTTTAGTTTTTTATAAGAGAGAGACGCGGGGCTGGGAGAGTGGGCGGGGGATGGGGGCTTGTGACAGAGCCCCTCATGCAGCGCAGGACAGTAGGGGGCAGCCGGGGTCACCCCTCTGCCTGGCAGCAGCTGGTGAGTGTGGGGATTTTTTTTTTTTTAAAGAGCCAGGAGGCTGGGGCCAGGGCGGGCAGCCATTGACAGGGCTGGGAGAGTGGGCAGAGAATTGGGCCTGTTTGATTTGGAGATTTGGCCAATTCAGCATGGGCCAAATATCTGAATCAGATTCAGCCAAATAGATTCGGGACAGTGATTCAAATCACCAAATTGCATCACTGTCCCCTGAAATAGCCTAATCCAAAGTGAATACCAGCCACTTCACACAGGCCTAGTAATTAATTGGGCATAAATTTGATACTTATATGATGCAGGTATTAAATTTACGATCAACTCAGCCTAAGTCACTATATTTACTATGTAGTACGGGAGTGCATGTGTAGACATGTGCCTGTACTGCACAGTAATTTTGGTTACTGCACAGTAAATGCCAACGTGTAGCATGCCCACTGAGTTCAGGGCTTTGTTTCTCTTACATGGATTGATTAAAAACAATCTGAAAATGGGTGTACTTGTGATACCATCATGGAAAGGAGATATATGCCAAGACCAGAAAAAAAGATTTGTATCTCAAATGAAGATGGGAGCTGGTTTGCAAATATTTTCTTTCTGGATGTAATTTATTTCTAATTTGTTTGTTATCATTTGCTCTGTTGGATGTTCTAATTAATATTGGTTATTACCTTTTAAAATAATTTTGATGGAGCACTAGCAAATATTACAAGGAATAATCAAGCACTGATCAGAGTAACGGATTTAAAAAGTTAGGGAGTACTACTTCCTTTAGCTTAGTGATTCTGATGATTAGTATTTATTCACTACCCTGAGGTCTAGTAGTCATTTAATAGATATGTACAGAGTGTCCATAACTCTCAAATGTCCTTCATTTTAGCAGATGGCACTCATGATAGTTTCAAAGTTGCCTTTATTTTACACAAATATTCCAGACAGAATATTTATGTATAATATGTGTGTGTTACTTTACAAATGTGGTGCCTGATGACTTTTAGAATTGAAAATTATTTAGAAATAATAATAAACTAGACGATTCTTTGAATTAATTATTTGAATTAAAGAAAGAATTCCATAAAATATGCTTGCTTGAATACTTACTTATTTCTCTCATTTTGTTTCCCTGAATTCCTCATTTGGACCCTTGCAGGTTAGGAAGCTGGAGTCTATCAGAAGTTCCTGAGACTTGCTAGCCCTGCAAAGACTATTGTAGGTGTCTGAGCATGTTGTAGCCCAAGAAGTGGGTGAAAGGACTGTTGTCTCCTACAAGGTGATCTGTCCCCAGATTGCAAATCACACTAGGGGAATCTGAGATGCATCTACTCATCACTTGGCTGTCTAGGCTGACTGACTTCTTTCCAAGGATCTGGGCTTTCCTGGGAAGAAAACATTGGGCTATGTCCCACCCAACTACTGCTCCACTCCTTCATCTAGCTGCAATTGCAGTCAGTGTCTGAGCTCGTCTTCCCTCTTTCAGTTTGTGCTTCCTACTCTTACCAATAGGGGGTGGAGCTCTGGGATCTGTGTCATGGTAGAGAGGTTCACACAGTAAGGGCCTGAAGATGAACCCACATGTTGGTAAAAGGCATGGGAGAGCCTGCATGGCAGTGGAGAACCCCACTTGCTGGAGGGTGTGGGGTGAGGGTACTCTTATTTTTTTTCCAGTGACTTGAAAATCATCTACTTACTGTTTCCCTACATCTCACTGGGTGTTCTTTCAACACAGACTACATATTTTGTCCTGCTACCAGTGAGTATTCTAAATCCATGTTTTGTAACACATCTTGCCTTTTGCCCATGTTTATAGTACTCAGGTAACTATTAAGCACCTAGATACAAATTAGTGCAATATAACTGCCTATACAAATTTGTAGTTTTCGAATCTTAGAATTTTTGGGAGGTTTTTGACAGTTTTCCTGGATTATTTGTTTTATTTTTTCTTTTTTTTCACCCATTTTCTGCACTGGAACATTGGGAAGAAAGGGGAAAAATCTAGCAACTGAAAAAACAAAGATTGAATATCAAACATTTTAATTTTTCTGTTAGGAGACACAACTATATCAATTTTACTCAAGTGTATAACTTTTGTCCAAAAAAATTAATCTTTTGAAAGCTTTGACATATCTTTTGAGATAAATGATTTTTATTAAAAAAAACCCAACAAAGCTGCACAAAATATAGACAACATATTTTGACCAGTTCCAGTTAAAACATTTGACATCTTTTATTGCTGGACTTTTATTTTTAGATATGTCTCAAATAGCAAATTCAGAGCGACAACTTTAAGACATTTCTGAAGAATAAAATACAGAAACAAGTAAAGAAAAGAGGAAGAACAGAGGAACCCCCCACTTCCCTCAAAAAGCCCCTTTGCAACTTTGTTTTGAGATTTGGTTGAATAAAGCAAATGAAAGAACTCTTACAGTCTTTCAAACTGCCTTCTAAAATCTTCAGAGAAATAGGATAAAACATGATAAATACCATTCTCACACTTTTACTTATTTGTGAACGTTCTCCACATAGAAAAGTAATGATACCCTTTCATTGATATCATCCAAGTGATAATATCCTTTTGTCTATGTCACTGGAGTAATAATAACCTTTCAACTACTCCGCTAAACAACACTTTTTGTCATTCTACAAAAAGTAAAAAGACTACCCTTTAAAAAACAAAATGTATAGGGTCAAATATGCTCCTGTTTACATCAATGTCAATCTAGAATAATGGTGCTAAAAGCAATGATATTAAATTGACTTTGACTTTAAAATGGGAGCACAAGTTGGTTCACAGTGGATGCATCTACACATTCATTAACTCACCTTAAAACTGCACATTTAGTTAGGTATTGTACTTCCTTAGTGAAGTACTAACTGAATGCGCAGTAGCTAGAGTTACTGTGCAGTAGTGTCAACGCATTGTTATTTAGTGATGCTTACTGTGCATTAGCTTAATAACATCGTGCAGAGGCTATTAGCACAGTTTTTGCTGTGACACACTACTGTACAGTGTTATTAGGCTAATGTGCAGTAAGTGTCTCATGTAGATGCGCCTAGTGTCTAAGAACACACAAGTACTGGAACTCTAGAACCACTTATTTGCTAATTTGTTCTGGAAGCCGTGCACCAAAACAGTGGCTGTGTTGTCATAATCTACATGCTAATGATCTGTACTTGACAAGTGTTTTGCCATTCTATACATTATTAGGGAGAAGACAAAGGAGCAGAGACATGCTTTGGCCTTACTAGTACTTGTTCTTCTACATTTAATTGCACAGTGACATCATTCAACAGGTTAGCCTAGAGACATCACTGTTGCTCAGACAGGCCTGAAACAAACCACTAAGAACTTATAAAGAAAAATATTACTGTTAGGCAATCATTACTGAGCTCTCCACTTCATGATTCAACCTTACGTTTACATGCAAATTCCGTTTAATATGAGTCTGTAGAGGATTGCAAGAAACTCTTCATAATGAACATTTAAAATTTCTTCTTTCAAATAATTACTTTAATTACGTAACATAACATAGATTTATTATAATAAGATTATATACATTCATTAAAGTACTCTGACTCGATTGCTTCCTATCATGATGAATTATCACTTATGTGAAATACATTGTGATGCTGATATCTTTATTAAGCCAATATCTCTTAAAACTAAAGACAGTGGCAAGTTGTACAGGATGTTATCTGCGTGTCTGTTTACTGAACTTGATATATACTTCATTTTAGCTTCTAATTTTGTTAGGTAAAAATAAAAAGATCAAAGAAATTTCCTGCCTGAGAAGGGAAGTGAACTGCATATTAACTTTCTCACGCTACCAGTGAGATTTCTTGCAACCGATAGAGTAACTGCATTGCAAAGGAATTAATCTCAGGAACTAGACTTTCAGGAAAGCTGCAGTGATTAGTTATACTTTCTCTTAGAACATATTTTCCCATTATTGCAAGCAGTAGAAATGGTCTGTTAAAAGTGTTTCTGTTTTACTTTTACTCCTTGGTATAGGCTGTTTCTAGAGATGCATATGAGAGCAAATGAAACACCCTTTTGAATGTAGGGATAAAGATTTTAAAAGCTGTTGTAAATTAAGTTATTTTTCTTCTCCCTTTAAAGAAGAGGTAACAGAATTAGTGTTACAGGTAATTAGAAAGTCCCAGGTTTGTTACATATTTACTTAGGACATACATTTCCCGAATAAAAATCAATGCCATCAATAGATTGTCAAGATGGCTACTTCATATGTAATTGTGCTATTTTACGGCAGGTTCTAATACTCTTGCCCATGCTGTAAAGAGTTAATTTGAAGTTATTTCTATATTGTATTAATTTCTGTCCCAGACTTGATTAATAGAGAATATTCTTCATGTATCTGGGAAGCTAACTGTTTCCATTTAGGTTTTGCAGGTTGCTCTTCAAATATGCCAGCAAGGCCCTGATCCTGCAAATACTTGAGTATGTGTTTAACTTGTAGTCACAGGAGTACCCCTTTTGGGTGTATCCCCAGGAGTGGGACTGTGCATTCCCAGGGACAGTTACCAGTGGCACACATTTGTGCCACTGTTAGTTGTCCCTGGGGAATGTCCCTGTATGCATGCTCTGGTGCACGGCAAGTTGCCCCGTGTGAGGTAGAGGCAGCTGGGGCCAGCATCTGGGCTGGCCCCAGCAGCCTTACCTATGGTCACGGGGGCCCCCAAGAGCTCCAGCAGTGGTGATCCAGGTGCATGAAGCCTGGCTGGCAGCTGAAGTATGCTTGGTTGGCCAGGTTGGGTGGCATACACTGCTGCCATGTGTCACCTCACTTTTTTTTGGCATGGGTGTTTTTGACATTGGGATCTCTCCATGTCAGAAAACCTGCCATGCTGCAAAGTAGCAGTGCAACAAACATCTGCATGCATATTGTGTGATGTCTGCAGTGCCACAGGCAGGTCCGTGGCACTGCAAAACGCAAGTGCACATTCAAGGGGACACACCCTTTGAGTACAGTTATTCACTTACTAAGTATAAGCATTTGTAGGGTGAAGGCTTTACCTGGTATGAAGACAGCTCTTTTAGCTGCCTCCAAATGCTTCAAGCAACCCCTTTACTGAGCAAACTAGACCTGCCAGGCTGCAAAGAAAACCCAAAATAAAAACAGAAATATCAGCACATTTTTCCAGGAGCGCTAACTTTTCCCATTTAAGTTTTAAGTGAAAAAGAGAAGGAAGGAGAAAAGTCATTGCAGCTCCTGTTATACTACCTGTTAAACCCATCAACAGGGCAAAATGTGGTATGCACATGGCCATCAGCAGAGTTAAGAAAAGAAGTGAGCCTCTTAAAACTAGACCAAATAGCGGAGCACTGTTACCAAAATGATTGCCTTTAGATATACATGCATTCACTATTTCTGTGGCTGCAAAAAAGGGCAATGGGTAAGAGAGGAGAGCCTTGGCTAAGAGGCACAAATTCACTAGGGTTTGCAAGAATGATGGCAGGTTGTCAGTAACAACTTCCTTTGTCTCTTCACCCCAAGTAAGAAATGCAGTCACTGCAAAGGCTGTTTTGAAGACACAAGCAAAAAAGTGAGTCCAATTTAACATACAGTTAAATTCCCCTGGGTTTTTCATGTTCCCTTCAAGGGTGGGGAGAAATATTTGTGAAGTATAACTGAAAATGATCACCCCAATTGAGACCAGGAAATTCTCAAACTCAATGGAGAATCTAAATCTTGTCCAGGACCACTGATGTATTTGTGTCAGACAGTAAGTCATCACGACAAAGATGATAATGAAGTGGACTAAGGAGCAAAGCTGGCTAAGCTTGGAAATGATTTTGAGAGTTTTGATAAATACACAAGGCAGCAACGTTACAAATGCAATTACAGACCAAGTTTTCTCAGTCATTGGTACATGTGGAAAACTATGTGACAGCAAGTTCCCACTAACAACCAGATATAAAATGCATGTCATGATCAGTTCCATCACCTGGGTCACACTGACAACTATGCCACCTAGTCTGGGAAACAGCTTTTTACAGCAGGCATTAGCGATGTCTTCATATGTGTCTCTCACTCTTACGAGCTGCCCATCTTCATTTTCTTCATACAGGCAGGCAATTAGAATTTTGCCAGTATAACAGCAGAACATTGCAGTCAGGATAATAAGAAACAGGCCACTGTAACCGCTGTGGAGAAGAGCATATGGCAATCCTAGGACAAAAATTCCCTACAGAGGAAAAGAAAAAAAAAGGGCAAAAACCATGAAGCAAAATGGTTACTGAAAGCAATTCTTTCAAATCATATCCATTGAGCATTACCTTCTCCTAACTGCATGGTGGAAGCATCGTTACATTAGTTAATCTAAGTAAATAACAATTGCAAAAAAAAGTGTTTATGATAAATGAAGTTATTAGCCAAAATAACTGCTAACACTGACACACACACAGATAAGCTAAGGAAGAGAGAATGCAAGCGATAGAGACAAGTGTCTAGTTAATATTTAACGCTGATGTGATTAGAAGCATATTTTAAAAGGATCATAGGCAGTTACTCAGTCAACATGCATATTAATGGAGCAGGTTCAATAATAATAAAATCAAACAGCTGTATCATTGCCTAGATAAGTTTCATCCAAACAAAAAGAGCACTATTGGCAGATTCAATGGCACATCTCTTTGGTCTAAAAATGCTATGGGGTCATAGCTAACAGTCATCTGAAAATAAAATGCCATTAAAGTCTGATTGTGTTACCTCTGCAGCTGTCTGTATACCTCATGGGGAATTGGCCGTTGTTTCCATTGATAAGTGATCACCCTCATAGTTGAGAGATTAGAATGTTTGGCTCTGTTTAGCTGCTTAAAAATATACATCAAGT